CATGGCGAGCCGGGGGGACCTCTGTAGTAGCCTAAACTTCCCCTGCACTTGCCACAAGGTTTTGACTAGTCACAACAGTAACAGCAGGAGTGAGTGTGACGGTATCTGTGCATCAGGCCTCGGCACTTCATGGGACCACGGGCTCCCCATAACAACCCTGGCTCTGCTGACCTCCCAATCCACAGAAAAGGTAACTGAGGCACAAAAAAAGGCAGCTCACCAAAACAGAGCAGGGATTTGAACCCCTCCATACTGGGGACCCCATTTGTACACTGTCTCCAATTTGGGACAGGGCCTTGGTCAAAGTCCCAAGGTGCACCACTCAACCTGCCTGTCACCCACTGGAGCCCAGACCTGCTTGAGGAAGATTCTGAGGACCCAGACTTCCAGCTAAGCAAATCAGCAGGTCACCCTGTATTGCGTGGGAATCAAGATTCACTGGACTCAGTACAGGTTAAATAAAGTTTATTCTGGGAGAATACACCTACACAAGAGGCGGTGACCGCCACAGGTTCCAGCTCCAAGGATCCTCCCAGGCTGTTCCCTGTGACCCGACCAGCAGCAAGAGACCTCAGTCCAGACCAAATCCCACACCCTCAAGGACTCACCTGTACGGGCGTGGTCATCGCCACAGGTGCGGAGTTAGACCTCTCACTACAATCCTGCGGTGCCCAGGCCCTACGGACTCTGCCTCACACGGCAGTTCAGTATCTTAACTCCCCAGAAGGACAGCAGGGAAGCAGTGGAAGCCTGGTTCCTGACACTCCATGGGCCAGAAATGGCTTTCCAGGTAAGGCAAGGAGGCTGGTGAGTGAATATTTCAATTGCTTTATAGCATAGAGGATATCTCTTCCACACATCCCTCATTTGCATATGTAAATGTATGTGCTAAAACTCTGAGTACCATGTAATCTGCAGAGATGTTCGCCTCTCATTTTAATACTTGAGATTCCTATCTGGATCCTGTTTGTCCCTTCTGGGTTTGTGTCCACGTGAGATGCTGCTGCCCCCTGGTGGGAAGCCTCCTCTTGCTCATTCACAGAGCACTCCTGAGTTCCTCTATTAGCGTTCATCCTCCTGTCTTCCCAGTCTTTCCCTCTTAAATTACCCCATTACAGAGGAGAGCACCCACAGGCTCTCTCAGCAAATGCAGAAATCACATGGATTTTTGTTCTTTGTGTGTATAATGTGTATGATAAGTGTGTGTTCTGTGAGTGCAGGACCTTCACACGCATGCAGAGGTCAGAAGACAATCTCAGGGGTTGGTCCTTGCTTTCCAACTTGAGACAGGGTCTCTTGCTCGCTTTTGGGTACACAGGTCCAGCTGGACCTCGAACTTCCAGGGAGTCCACCAAGCCCTAGCATTAAAGATGTGCACTACGTGTCTGGCTTTATGTGTGCTCAGGGGACCTGAACTCAGGTCTCACATTTGCAAAGCAAGTGCTCTGCCCATTGGTCCACCTCCCCAGACCCTGACTGGCTTTTCATTCAGTATTTATTTTGTCCTGTGGCTTACTGAGCATTTTATTTTTCTGGGATAGCTTTAATGAATATAGGCAGACCATAGAGGAAGGTTTTGATTGGCCCTTCCAAAGTCCCTACTCTCAGCAATGGAAACATATCAGAAAGAAATAAGACCCCAGTAGACCCTGAGCCCCTAAAGGTGAGCCCACCCATCCTCTCCAGACTGAAGCTCAGGGGAATGGCAGTCCTTGGCTAAGCTTTTGGGTTCACCACAGCCTCAAAGTCTGTTCCTGAGGACCAGGCGTGGGACCTGACTACACACTCCCATTGTTCCTGTTGGACCCTAAAGGCTGCGGTTGGAAATGGGGGGTGAGAAATGTGAAGCATGGCTCTGCATCCCAACAAAGTGCAGCTCCCACTGGGCAAAGCTCCCATGGCTGTGACGCAGTTGGGGAGAGTCTCTTTCCTCTGAGTGGCTTTAGTCTACTTCCCCAAGAATTACTATCCATCCCGGGGGAAGGATGGGGCCGAGGTTTAGTTCAAGAGTTATTGGCTGGAAAATTGGGAAGAAGCCAAGTTCACAATGTCAAGGAAACTGCCAGAGGCAGGATGTGGGAGACCTGAGTCGGCCTGAGCTGGCCTGTGCCAGCTCTGCATCCACCCCACTCAGGACACTCAGCCTTCCCCACGCTCGAGAGTCACCCTTTGGGGTACCTGGCAGGCCACAACACTGAGCCCCAACCCAAAGACTTAGTCACAGGCCTGGGGCAGGGCCTAAGAATTCACATCTCCAGTCCCCGACAGTGCTGGCGCTCTGAGGTCAGTTGCCACCTCTAACCCACCTGTCTTTTACACAATCTCAAATGCAGATCTGAAATCACCTCCTGGGGAACCAGACTGAAGTGTGAGGAGACACAGAGCCAGCCTACCCCAGCCAGGAGTGCCAGTGACACTGGAAGATGTCTGCAGGGAAAAGGCCTGTCCTTTCATGGCAAGTTTAGAAAGCTGCTCTTGCTGTCATGTAAACACAGACTTCTGAATGCATGTGTGGCTCTGGAGTTTTTAAGATGAAGTAAACAGTTTCCAAGAACCTTCCTTTTTTCCTCACAGGGCATCTTTCACATATATGATTGTGCATGCTGTATGTGAGTGCACGCATGTGTGTCCTGTATGTGAGTGCATGCATGTGTGTCCTGTATGTGAGTACATATATGTGTTGATGTATGTGTGTGCATGCACATGTGTGCTGTATGTGAGTGCATGTATGTGTGTCCTGTATGTGAGTACATGTATGTGTTGATGTATTGTGTGCATGTACATGTGTGCTGTATGTGAGTGCATGCATGTGTGTGCTGTGAGTGCATGTACATGATGTGTTGCTGTATGTGAGTGCATACATGTGAGTCCTGTATGTGAGTGCATGCATGTGTGTGCTGTATGTGAGTGCATGCATGTGTGTCCTCTATGTGAGTGCATGCGTGTGTTGATGTATGTGTGTGCATTCACATTGTGCTTGTACATGAGTGCATGCATGTGTGTCCTGTATGTGAGTGCACGCATGTGTGAGCTATATGAATGCAGGCAATGTGGTGTGTGTGTGTGTGTGTGGTATGCTGTATGTGTACATGTACAGGTGTGCTAAACATATATGCAGGCATGTGTGTAAATACATATGCGTCACATGTGGGTACAAGCATGCATTGTGTGTATAATGTGCATCCATGTGCTGTGTATACATCTGTGTGTACATGGATGTGCTGTGTGTGTCTTGTGTTGTACATGTGTTACATGCATTGCTGTGTATACATGCATGTTTATGTGTATCTGTACATATTTTCTTCTTCAAGATGGCTGTGCTTTGGTGGAGGCAATGTCCCTTGGAAACCACTGTTTTGGGTACTAACACATGGGCTAAACTCCCTTAAGTATGTCCCAGGAGATTAGCTGAGGGTCGGGGGAGAAGTCTAAGTGGAAGGACAAAGGTGGCCTGACCTGACTGCCAGGACAAGAATGCTATGCAGAGAAGGCACAGTCAGAGTGAGAACACCCACCACCTGTCAACATGCTCCAACTAGGTGTGTTTTCTCACCTTGGCCTCCAGAACAACCGAAGTCACAGCAAGGCTGCTTCACAAGCACTCTGAGTAAGAGGGCAAGCAATCGCCGAGCAACAGGCATGCCATCTGTCTTCCTACTTCTTCAAGTGAAATATCAGAACCCAGCTTCCTCCTCTCTGGCCTTCCCTGCAGTGGCTATTGGTGGCTGTCATTGACTTTCACCCAAACCTCATGGTAGCCAGCTATGAACCAAGTGGACACTGCCTCCTGAGAATCAGGCCACCTTTAGCCTGAGATGTACTCCAAGGCCTATATAAGTGTGTGCTCAGATCCACAGCACAGCTAAGTGGAGAGACACATGAGGCACAGATGAGCACAGCCAACACCCCAGGTCTTGGCCTTCACCAGAGCTTCTTACTGACACACAGCAGCCCTCTTAGCACTGACACGAATAAAATCAAAATATCGGTCAACTCTGATAGTGCTGAAGGTGCCCATGTCTTGTCACAAGCTCAGCCATGGCTTCATTCTTCGTGTAAATCAAATAATCCAGCTCATTAGTATGCAAACTTGTTTTCAGTCTTTAACAAAAGGTGAAACTGTACATATACCAAATAATCCCTTTAAAATAAATATTTTTAAGATTCGTTAGCAGCAAGAGTTTAATAGGCCTATTTTAGAGCCGCACACCCAGGTTCAAGTAAAAAATTCCTCTGGTAAGATAGGCTCACAGAAGTATCTTTATGTCCATTTCAAAGTTGTCATAAAATTCATTCAAATATGATTTGCTAGAAACTCTAGGCATCAAATCGAACGGCAACTTCTAAGATCAAACACTGAGGCTGTGAGGTGACTCAGTGGGTAGAGACACTTGCACACAAGCTTCACACGCTAAGTTCAATGCCCAGATCCTGAATGCGACAGGGAGAACCAATTTCCTACAGTTGTCCTCTGACTTGCACACACATGCTGTAGCAGATGAGTGCCTACACACACACACACACACACACACACACACACACACACACACACACACACAGAATTCTAAGTCAAGCATTCTAATGCAATCCAGTCCAAAGACGCTAACTCAGTACTCACATCCAAGGAACGATGCAGAAAGATATTAAAGTCTTTGTTTTCCATAATTACGCATTCTGTTTCTTAAAAACCTACAACTCATAATACAGGATAACCTGGTACCTGAGCAAGGTGTTCTGGGAAGTATGGCATAGGAGGACGTCACAGTCTAAAGCCATTCATTCATGATAACACGAGAAGGGCAGCGTTGCCAGAAACACCATCAATTCATTACCCATTAGACTTCGAGTGATTTCTGGTTGTATATTTAGAAGCCTTTTACTGTTCCCAAACTTTTGGTGAACCCCACACTCAGTATGCAACCCCATTTTGGGGGTCCCAACTCACAGTCTACGATGTAGAGACCTACGAGACACCAGCCCCGTCCACCAGAGGACTCTACCTGTTTGAAGAACTCTGGGAAGTTGATGATGGGCCCATTGTGGAAGACGGGATAATAGAAGACAAAGGCCAGCAACCACGGGAAGGAATAGGAGGTGCGCTGGGCAGACGGAGGCTGCCGGCACAGCTCCAGGCTGAAGCTGGTGTAGTACAGGCAGCGAACAGTCAGGGTGAACTGTAGCAGGTAGTACTCATTTTCTGTCTTGTACCACTTCCTCTGCAAAAGCAACAAGGGGGGACAGCCCATGAGTGAGCAGCAAGGCAGCATCAATCCACACACAGGAACTGGCCAGGGAACCCCGACTTTGGCTTTCCCTAGGACAGAAGCAATGAAAGAGAGTTGAGTACAAAGCAATGTCAAGCAAATCCCACCGGCAACCAAAGCAGTGTGAGCTGCTGTATATCTGGGTGTTAGAACAGGTGCCTTGCATGTCTGGGGACTGCCTCTTGCCCAATGTCCATCTCCCCAAAAAACACAACTGACAGACAATTGTTTCTGTCAAGATGCCATCCTATGGCCCAGGTCAATACTTAGGCAAAACACTGTGTTTTCACTTTCTATACAAGACACTTCTGTGATTAGCTCTATGAGTGGCTAATTAATAAGCCTGTCCTGTCAAATAAGAATGAAGACACTTGTCTGACTGTCTTGGGGCCGTTGTAGACATCATGTCTCATAAGGAAAATGGGTGAAAATGGTCCCTAAAAACCATAGAGCACTAAACAGGCAGGGTTAAGCATATAGATAGGGGAGGACTCTGTTTCTATCCCTCTGGTCCTGTGACATCTGTCATCCTCCATTAACATCCAAACTGGGAGAAAAGGTGACCCTGGACAACCTAACAGGGCTCAGACATAAAAACCAAGACTGATTGTGCAATGACCCTGGATGGCCACTAGGCGGAGCCCCACAGAGAGGCTACTGTTATTCTGTGAGTGAAGACCTGACATCTCCTGGATCTGAGCCTTCTCCTGCCCTATGGTAAGGTGTGCAGGAGGCAGACACTTACCTTAACTTCCTCCACACTCTGCAGCCTCAGGGTGGAGAGCAGGAGGAGAGAACACAGCCAGGACAGGAGCATTGACCGGAACTGGGCCACGCAGAAGGCGATGGTGGTGTGGAGAAAGACCATGGCCACGCCTGGAGCTCCCAGCACACACCAGCAGGCCCACATTCCATAGACCATGACGATCCAGGGTCTGTGCTGTAGAAGGGTGTTCCAAAGAGAACAACAGGAGGTGAGTTCATGAGTGTGGCTAGGACAGCACCTGTAGGATGAGGGCAAGCTTTTGTGACTAGTAACCAAACCTGTTCTCACCACCCTGCCAGGTCCACCAGGCATCAAGAAGTCACTCTCCTGCCTTCGGAGCCTCCTGGACTATATCCCACACAGTGAGATGCTCAACTGACTTCTGAACAGACATGGGGGGACCCACCAGCTGGGAAGGGCACATTCCCATACTCTACAGACATGTCCTTCTGACGCCAAAATGAGAATGAGGGTCACATGCACTTCTGGGAGCCTTAGATAAAACCCAGGATGTCTACACCAAGGCTTTCTGATGTCTTAGACTTAAATATCTAACTACATCTTTTTGGAGCATTGAGCTGATACGTGTTCTATTGGGAACACCCAAGACAAAAACCATAACTCACTTGAGGATCGTGAGGCTTGTTTGTTTTGTTTTCTGTTTCTCTTCATAACTCAATTTTGCAGGTCTTGAGTGTGAACTTTTTAGATGACAGTGTGGCCCAGGTGAAGCCAAAAGGTTGGACCCCCTTAGCATACTATTCACAGTCAAATTTATGTCACAGAAAAATCGCATCTCCTCAACTTTTTGTGATGTCAAGATCTTTAACTGATTGACATGTTCATCCCATTTTGAGAGAATCTGAATAATATTCTGCTTAGTTGGCAAGTAACTTAGTTGTTCCACTGATTAAACAGATAGTAGATTAACAGATCTTTGCTGTCATGGTACCTCTTCCTGCGTCCACGTGCTAAATCCTCATTTTAAAACTGCCATAGGGCAGTGGTACACGCCTTTAATCCCAGCACTCGGGAGGCAGAGGCAGGTGGATCTCTGTGAGTTCGAGGCCAGCCTGGTCTCCATAGCAAGTGCCAGGATAGGCTCCAAAGCTACACAGAGAAACCCTGTCTCGAAAAACATAAACAAAAACAAAAAACAAACAAACAAACAGACAAAAACCTGCCATAGGTCTGGAGAGAGGACTCAGTGGATAAGAGCACTTGCGGTGCAGGCATAAGAACCTTAAGTTCAGATACCCAGCACCCACGCAAAGCCATGCTAGCACACATCTGTAACCCCAGCATCCTATGGAGAGGTGAGAGGCAGAGGCAGGGGAAATCCCTGGAAGCTGAAGGCCAGCTAGCCTGAAGCACACGGCAGTGAACAAAAGACTCTGCCCCAGGTGGAACCCGAGGTCCAACACGGAAGGTTGTCCTCTAACTTCTACACATTCCCAGTGACACACCGGTGCCTGCACTCACACACACACAGGCACACACACATCAGATGTATATAAACCCATACATGGATAAATAATTTTTTCAAACCACAATAAAGGGCCAGCAAGATGGTTCAGTGAGTAAAACTGCTTGTCACCGGTGTTGTGATGTGAGTTTTATCCCCACGTGAAGGTGGGAGAAGAGAACCAGCTCTACAAAGTTGCCCTCTGAGCACCCATGCCCACACACTCAGCATAAACATACACAATAAAAAAGACTGCCATGAAGAGATGAGCGTGTCTCAATAGAAGAGTGATGGGAGATGTTATTCTGTATTTGTTCCTCTTATTGGTTGATGAATAAAACACTGATTGGCCAGGCAGGAAGATAGGTGGAGCTAGGAGACGAGGAGAATTCTGGGAAATGTAGGCAGAGAGGAGTCACAAGTGAGGTGTTCTCTGGTAAGATAAGACCATGTAGAAATACATAGATTGTAGTTACGGGTTAATAATTAAGGCAGAGCTAGCCAACAAGAAGTCCAAGTCACCAACCAACATTTCATAATTAATATAGTGTCTGTGTGTTCATTTGGGGCTCAAGGGCTACTGGGCCAGAAAACTCATGCTTACAGGAGAAAGTATGCCAGGCATGTGCCAGGCCTTTGGTGTGATCCTTAGCTCTACCAAAAAGAAAAAGAAAAAAGCAGTAAGTTATTTTTTTCATTTTATTTTATATGTACAGTCTTTTTTGCCTGAATGTATACATGCGTACCGTGTGTGTAGTGCCCACAGGAGATGGTGGAGTTACAGACAGTTGTGAGCTAGCATAGAGTGCTGAGAACTGAACCTGGGTCCTCTTAACCGCTGAGCCTCTCTCCAGCCCTCGGGTTTTAATATTAAATGGCTGTGTGCCAGCAGAGTTTAATGTCTGAAGCATCACATCTCCATGAACTAACTACCTGCATGGTCTTCAGCAAGTTACATACGCTCTCTGTGGCTCCAGTTCTTTGCATATAAAACTGGAGCAGTGACCATTTCACAGGGTCACTGTGAGTATCACGGAATTGTGTGTGAGCCACATTTAGTATGCATGTGCAAAGGAAGGGCTCCTCCTGAGCTGTGTCTGTAATTCAGCTGACAGAGAGCTTGCCCAGCATGCATGAGGCTCTGTCTTCCAGCCCCAGCACTTTACAAAATGGAAACAGTGACACGTGCCTGTAGTTCTAGTATTCACACAGGGAGGCAAAAGGGTAAGAAGTTCAGGTTATCCTCTGTTATATAGTGAGATTGTAACTAACCTGGGCAGTGTTGTAAGTGTTGTAAGTGTGATACATTTTGAATGATGGTTTTCAGAAACTTTTCAAAACTGAAAAGTCAGATGACTGAACTTACATGTTCTGGTGAAAAGAGTGAGCTGAGCCTCGTGTCCTGGGGACTGCCCTCCCAGCAACTCGGGAGGTGGAGGCAGGGGACCACAAATGGAAAACCTAACTGGGCAACTTAGTGAGACTGTATGAAAACAGAAAGTAGAAACAGGACTGAGCGTGTTGCCTAGTGGATAGGGATTGCCTGACACACATGTGGTCAGAGGTTCGGTCCCTAGTATCGCCAGAGAGACAGACAGACAGAATGACAGAGAAAAAGAGACAGACAGACAGAGACAGAGAGAACCAGATGCAGAACAGGCCTGGAGTGTGGCTTGCCCATCTTCTTCTAAACTGTCGCCCACACACTCCTCTTCCACAAACCTATATTCCAGCCCAAGAGAACTTCTGAAACATGAGACAAAGTCAGCCACTTTTGCGTTCCAAGAAAACCAGAGAAATGTGGTGTTCATTTTTACTTTTTTTTTTTCTTTTTCCATCCTGCTAACCACAGAAAACAGCCACATAAATTTGCCTCAAACTTTCCCCAACTCTCCCACCTCTGGGCAGACTCCAATTTCCAGAAACAAGGTCGCCAAAGACTAGTTTAGCACATGGTTTTAACAAGTGGGGAGGAAAGGTTCTTTTTAACACAATCAACAGTGTGTGCTATGGAGCCTGTGCTCTAATATCTGCACATATATCCGCACACAGTCACACTTTCAGTGAGTGCTATTTGATCTGCTTGGGAAAAGCCTGTTTGCTGAGCTTCATTTGAAACTCACCACAGACAGGAGCTGCTCCAACTTGGAACTGAAAGAGCCTTTGGAAATATTTAGCCGCACTGTGTAAACCAGCTGTGCTCCAGCGAGTGAGTCTATGATGGATTTGACAGTGGCCACAACAGCCATTTGTGTTCAGACAAACGCACCCCACTCCCCTCCTGCAGGCAGACAACACTGTCTCAGGACAGCATGGAGAACACTCTTCCGCTGACCTCGGACTCCCCAACTTTCCCACTGCCCTCACCCTCCCCATCACACACATCCTGAGGATGCAAAGTAGAAGGGTTGACTAACACACCCTCTTACTGCGCAGAACTGATGTGTGAACCAGAATGCCACGCTCAAACTTAAAATATTAGATGGCACTGGAATCCCTGCCCACCGCAAAATCATTAAAACCCAGATACAGCGTGGCCAGCCCTGAACCGACACCAGGATAGAGATGGGAAGGCCCCACTGCCATCACCACAGTGTCCCTTCCACACACAGGCTGAGCTCTGGAATTGGTGGGGGACAACAGAGTGGCAGGGCCATAAGAGGAGGGTTAGGCAGCTCTTCCCCACCCGTCTCCACTCTGACGTGCTTCTGTGTGGCTCGAGCACTTCTCTACCTCCTACATACGTAAGTATGAAGCCTGTCACATGAGCCAGGACAGAACTGTTTTAACATTGCAAAAAATGAAAAAATAACACGCATGATGTTTTATCCCGAAACAATGCTTCTAACTTGCCGTTAAATAGGCCAGAAAATTCTTTTCTAAGTTCTCAGGGACCTGAACAGATACACAGGGCTTTGGTCATACACATATGATGTCGGTCACAGATTTCTTAGAAAGTCAGTTTATCTTTATTTTATGTGCATGAATCTCTGCTTGCATGTATGTCTGTGTGTCGTGTATATGCCTAGTGCCTGGAGAGGCCAGAAGACCGTGTTGGATCCCCTGGAAATGGAGTTACAGGTGGTTGTGGGTGTTGGAGAAACTGAACCTAGGTCCTCTGCAAGAGCAGCAAGTACTCTTAACCACCGATCTGTCTCTCCAGCCCTTGACTCGGGTTGTTAAAGCCCACTCGCTGTGTTAGGGTTTCTATTGCTGAGATGAAACACCATGACCAAAGTAACTTGGGGAGGAAAAGGCTTATTAGGCTTACACATCTATGTTGTTGTTCATCACTGAGAGAAGTCAGGACAGGAACTCAAGCAGGGCAGGAACCTGGAAGCAGGAGCTGATGCAGAGGCCGTGGAGGAGTGCTGTTTACTGGCTTGCCCCTCATGGCTTGCTCAGCCTGATTTCTTACAAAACCCAGGACCACAGCCCAGGGATGGCACCACCCACAATGGGCTGGGCCCTCCCCCTCAATCACCAAATGAGAAAATGCCCTACAGACTTGCCTACAGCCTGGTCTTAAGGAGGCATTTTTTCAATCAAACTTCCATCCTCTCAGATGACGTTAGCTTGTGTCAGGTTGACTTAAAACCATCCAGCAACCCACCCCAAAAGTCAAAATGGCCCAGTTCATTTAGACGAGATTCAAGTGAGAACTGTGATTGGCAATTATTGATCTCTAGAAAAGAAGACACAAGAATCCAAACCCTTCCCTAAGCTTTCACACACACATCTGGGGCTTCTGTAGCTCTAGGT